GTCATTCAATTACTATATTGACTAATTGGTATTTAAAAAAAACAAACAAACAGATAATCGGTAATGTTGTCAACATTGGAAACTCTCACGATATTTTTTAATTATTATTTTCATGTATGAATTTCGATATTCATAGCTATCCTCAAAACGTTTGCGTAACAAAGTATAATATAATTGTCCACGAAAAAAATGTGATATAATTTATTGAGATGATATGTTAAATAACCATATTTTTTTGGGAAAATATTCAAGTTCTAAGAAATATAACGATAAACTTTTCGGTTTTCGTAAAAATATTAGGAGAATATATTTGTTGTAATGTAGAGGTATATTTTTAGAATTAGCTCTATATATTTGGAATAATAAATAATTATTTATAAGTCCGCGTTATTGTAATGTAGAATTATCTCAATATTATTTTAACATTATCACGAAAAATGTAATTTTTTGATATTAGAGTATTATGGTGCATGAGAATATAGGCATATTATCGCGAAGAATAAGTAATGTTAACATTATCGTGAGGTTTTCTATTTCGAAATTCTTTTTACTACCAAAATCTCATTTTATTATGAGAAGCTAAAATGTATATTTTGCATTATCGTGCAATATAATATTATATATATAATTTGTTAATGATTGTGTATTTAGATCACACATTTTTTTTGTTTTCGTACTATTCATCAGAAACTATGAAATGTAAGCTTGGGCGTCCTTGGAAAAAAGTTCATCTTCGTCAATTGCTCCAAATAAAGGTGAGATTTCAACTAAATTACATTTTGAAAACATTCACGTGTTGTAAATCTGCTTATTATTAACTGGAATTTGTAGGTGGTAATGCTAAGAACGCACGATATGCTCCTACCAGTGCAACCGATATTGACCAACTTGGAGGGTTGTTTCGTTACAATATCGATGAAGTTCCTGATCTAACACCCCAGGGAATTCGTAATGCACAACAGAGAAGAATGCATATCATGCGTGAGAGGAGAAAAGAAGAAGAAGCTATTGGTTTGATCTTCTTTTTTAATAATTACAATGTAGATTAATAATTTTATACTTACTATTTTTTCCATGAAAAAAACAAACAGATTTTTTGGCTATTTCTATCAACTCGGAAGAGTTTGCTTGCTTTATTGCTACTGATTCTGAGTCCGATAGGGATAATGATAAAGACTCTATGTCGGAAAGTGAGGATGTGGAAAAACTGACTTCTGGTAATAAAAAAAAGGAAGACCCAAAAAACGTGCTAAATCCTCTGATTTTTGTGATGAGGAAGCAACCGCGACTGTTGTTACTAGAACATATTTATTGGAATCAGTTAGTCCTGGTCTGAAAGATGGAGGTTATAGTTTTCATTGGACTAATATATTTCATTTAATACATAATATATAAATATCGTGTAATTAATACTAATAAATGAATATTTTTCTAACCAGGTTATTACGATGATGGTGATCCTATATATATATGTGGTAAGTGTAAGGCTTATATGTGGTATGGAGAGAGGTTGGGTAAACGATATCGACGTGGGAAGCATATATTCTCCATGTGTTGTGGTCAGGGTAAAGTCGTTCTTCCACTTCTTAAAGCCCCTCTGAATTCGCTATTAGCATTGATGTACAATGATGGTGATTTGCGTGATCACTTTTGTGAGTTTATCCGGGCGTATAATATGATGTTTTCCTTCACTTCTCCTGGAGGAAAAATAAATAAAGAAATCAACGACGGAAAAGGTCCTTACATTTTCCAGATGAGTGGGGAGAACTACCATTCTATAGGGGATATGCTACCAGCTCCTGGAAAAGAACCAGCCTTTTTATAGCTGTATATATATGATACCGCAAATGAAACATCTAACCGAATAGCTGCTTATGGGTATGATTATTATTCCTTTGGTTTATATTTAATTTAATCATTGAGATCAATTTTAAAACATATATGTTTTGTTTTTAAATGTTATGTGGTTCTAACTGTCATAAGACTTTATTTTTACAAAAATTTAGAAAAACGGGACCGACTGATAAATTGCGAGAGAAGCTGGTTGAGAAAATAAAAAATATGCTAGATAAACATAACAAACATGTGGATGCATTATGAAACGTGCGAGAAAGGTTTGGTCCTAACGATGATACAAGCCGATTAAGGTTAATTTTAAGGCATGACAGGAAAAGTGATGGAAGGACTGAGAATCTACCAACTACTTACGAGGTTGCTGCATTGATACCTAATGATTTTGATATTGAGACAGATTCACGTGATATCATCATCGAGTGTAAAAAGACTGGGAATCTCAAAAGGATCAGTGAACTACATCTTGCGTATTTGCCTTTGCAATTTCCATTATTGTTTCCCTATGGCGAGGACGGGTTCAGACTTGGTATCGATATCGGTTTTGTAGATACCGAAGGGAGGAAAAGGTTGCATATTACTATGAGAGAGTTTTTTGCTTTCCGCATACAGGAGAGGGTTGGCGAGTCACCAATCATCCCTTTATCTGGAAGATTATTCCAGCAGTTCTTAGTGGATGCGTACACGATGATTGAGATCAATAGACTATATTTCATTTCAATGAATCAGTCTAAACTTCATTGCGAAAATTATGATCAGATAAAGAAAACTGTTGATGAAGGTGACACTGATCTTTCTGACAATGGTAAACGTATTATTATACCTTCTTCTTATACTGGTGGTACAAGGTATATGGTGCAACATTATCTAGATGCGATGACTACTTGCCAGCATTTTGGTTTTCCGGATCTTTTCATAACCTTTACGTGTAATCCCAAATGGCCTGAAATTACCAGGCACCTAAAAAGACATAACTTGAAGCAAGAGGATAGGCCAGATATATGTACGCGAGTGTTCAAGATGAAACTAGATGATCTCATGCACAGACTCACCAAAGAAAATGTGTTAGGTGTCGTAAAAACCGATATGTTTTATTAAACTAAGTATCTTATTTCGTTTAGCAAGATATTGTCCATACCACTGCTAGATGATCATGCTAACTAATTTTTTAGAAACTAAAAATTATTCATTGCAGCGATCTACACGATTGAGTTTCAAAAACGGGGACTACCTCATGCACACATCGTTCTTTTTTTAGAGGCTGGTTACAAGCTACCAACAGGTGATGACATTGATAAGATAATATGTGCCAAAATTCCTGACAAGGATATTGATCCAGCGCTGTATGAGATAGTAGGAGATGTCATGATGCATGGGCCATGTGGTGCTTTGAATAAGGATAGTGTTTGCATGGCTGAAGGAAAATGTACAAATTATTTTCCAAAACCATTCAGTCCGATCACTAAAATAGATGATGTTGGATATCCTATATACAGGCGACGTAATGATAAGAAAGTTATCGTTAAAAAGGGTATTGAATGTGATAATGGATTTATGGTTACTTATAATAGGAGCCTCACACTGCTTTATAGGGCTCATATCAACGTCGAATGGTGTGTACAGTCGCGATCAGTAAAGTATCTATTCAAATATATTCATAAAGGTGCTGATTACATCCGTGCAACTATCAAGAATGATGATAAAGAAAACGAGATTAAGAAACACTTCAACTGTAGGTATGTTTTAAACATTTTGTTCACATCTTTTATATCTTTGAAATTCCAATCTTCCATTATTTAATAATGTCTTTCTATATAGGTATGTAGCACCTTCGGAGTCTACGTGGAGAATTTTTGGTAATCGTACTCACCATCGCACGGTTTCTATAGTTAAACTACCCTTTCATTTACCGAACCAGCAAATGGTCATATACAACGAGGATGATCCAGGTGACAAGGTTATCAATCATTTCTCAGTTCGTACGTCAAAATTTATTGCTTGGATGGAGTGCAACAAGGAGTAAGAACTGGCGAGGACGTTAACTTATGCGCAACTTCCTTCGAGATTTGTATGGAATGGACCAAAAAGGATATGGACGCCACGGTCAAGGAGAATTTCTCGTGGTAGAATTACGTATGTACCCATTGGGGCAGGTGAAGCGTATTATTTAAGGCTTCTGCTTAATTTAGTCAAAGGACCACGTAGTTTTGACGATATAAAAACAGTCAACAAAGTTCTACATTCTTCGTTCAAAGACGCTTGCTATGCGTATGGATTATTGAATGATGACAAAGAATATATTAAGGCCATCAATGAGGCCGGATTGTGGCTTTCTGCCAATTATCTCCGTCGTCTTTTTGTGATCATGCTCACTACTCATAGTATATTCATTCCTTCTAGAGTTTGGGATGCTACATGGCAGGTATTATCAGATGACATCATATATAATTACAGAAAGACTGCCAGGGATCAAAGTAAGTCGTATAGTTATCATTTACGTTGTTGTTATTATATATCTTTAAGATATTGATAGCTAATTTATCTTTTGTAAATTTTTGAAATTAGCTGTTAGTCTATCTCAGGAGCAAGTTAAAGACTTTGCTCTGGTCGAAATAGAACTTCTTTTACGTGTAAGTGGGAGATCTTAAAAAGAATTCACACCTATACCGTTTCCTGAAGATATTGCTCTGGAGTCACGTGATAATCCTCTTATTAGGGATGAGAGGAATTACAATCGCAAAACTCTTGGAGTTAGAAACGAGCAGATGTTAGCTACTGTAACCAGCGAACAGAGAAATATGTATGATGAGATCCTAGAAGCAGTAAATAAGAACAAGGGAGGTATGTTCTTTGTTTATGGTTCTAGAGGTACTGGTAAAACTTATTTGTGGAGTCTATTAGGATATGCTCTACGTTCCCAAGGTGATGTTGTTCTTAATGTTGCATCGAGTGGGATTGCTGCGTTGCTATTAGAAGGAGGCTGAACTACGCATTCAAGATTTGCAATCCCTATCGTGGTTAATAAGTTTACCTTCTGTTCAATCAAGAAGGAGTCGAATCTTGTCGACCTGATAAGGATTGCTAAACTCATTATATGGGATGAAGCGTTGATGATGAGTAAAGACTGTTTCGAGACTCTAGATAGAACGATGCGTGATATATTAGAAGTTGACAAGCCCTTTGGTGAAAGGGTCATTGTTTTGGGAGGGGATTTCAGGCACATATTGCCAGTGATTCCAAATGCTGGGAAGACAGAGATACTTATGGCCACTTTGAATTCGTCACCTATGTGGTACAAATGTAGAGTGTTGAGACTTACACAGAACATGCGACTTATAGCTGGAGATAGTAGCCGTGCGATGCTTGAACGAGCTGCCTTTACAAAGTGAATCCTAGACATTGGTGATGGAACGATAAATGATGATGGGAGTGGTGAAGCCGTGATTGATATTCCTGATGATCTGTTGGTTAAAGACTGTAAAGATCCTATAAAAATGATCGTCAAAGAAATTTATGGGAGTTTGTTTTCGAAAGAGACTGATCCTAAATTTTTTCAAGACCGTGCCATACTGAGTCTAAGAAACGATGATGTAGAGACGATAAATGATTACATGCTTTCAAAGTTGTCGGGTATGTTTATTTTTTATTAGTTCCTCTTAACTTATTTGTTTAAATTTATATAATACAACGAATGTTTTGTATATAACAGGTGTTGAAAGGACCTATCTTAGTTGTGATAGCATTGATACGGCTGAAGAAGTTGTCAATTACAATGATGCATCTGAAGTACCATCGGATAGTGTAGCCAGTATGAATAAAGGTGGTTCCAACAATATGATCTATACCGAGGAGTTTTTAAATAGTATCAAGATGTCTGGTTTCCCTAATCATGTCTTGAAGTTGAGAAAGGGTACTCCGGTAATGCTTCTAAGAAATATCGACCCTAAGAATGGGTTGTGTAAAGGCACAAGACTCATCATTACTAAGATGGTTAATTATGTTCTCCAGGCTCAGATAATAACAGGTAGCAAGGTTGGTGACAAAGTACTCATTCCTAGGATATTCCTCTCTCCTTCGGAGATGAAACTTCCTTTCAGGATGAGACGCAAGCAGTTTCCTATCACATTAGCTTTTGCAATGACTATAAACAAAAGCCAAGGACAAACACTCGAAAAGGTTGGCTTGTATCTTCCAAGGCCGGTATTTACTCATGGGCAACTCTATGTCGCTGTGTCGAGGGTTACATCTAGAGAAGGTTTGAAGATATTGATCACCGATAAAGACAACAAACCACAAAGCAAAACATTGAATGTCGTCTACAAGGAAGTTTTTGACAAGATATGATTTTTTTTTTGTTTATCTATTCTCTATGGATCTCGAAATATGTTAGTTACTTTTACTATATTATAATTACGTTCAGTTTTATAGGTTTTACTAATAGATTTGATGTTTTTTGATTTATCACTAAGTTGGATCCGATGTAATTCGTTTTCAAAATTTCACTAAATTAGACCTGAAATAATTCTTATATCATGTACTAAGTTTAGATTATCTATTATCGTAAATGAGTTTGTAAAACCCATATATTACATTATGTTTGATTGGTTTACACCAAAAGAATGTTACTAATGGATATGGGTATCACCTATTATTTTTATTGAACCCAAATATTGTATATAAATTGGAAGTTGTATAGTTACTCGGTTTTATCAATCTGATCCGTTTTTTCTTCATATATATATTACCCCACCATATACAATTTAGCAGCTTTCTTAATGTTTTCTTTTAGTAATGGTTTGATCTCTGACGTTTAACTGTAGTTTGATATTCCAATGACAAACTCAATTCGATAATATATTTTAATGAAACTTAAATTGTAGCATATTATTGGACATCTATTGACATTTCAAGTGATGAACATTGTCACCTAGTTATAAATATTGAGAATGCTCCAAAACCAAATTATCAATGTCATCGAAATAAACTTAATAGTTTTTAGAAAACTAAACCAAGTACATATTGTCTTTAAAGTGATCATTGCAAACAGAAAAAAAAAACATGGAATTTGATATGGTTCTTAATTAAAAACTCTAGACCTCCTCTGTTTACTTTTCTTCTCCTCTCCCTTCAAGCACAAACACAAACAATCCAATTTAAATTTTTGTAAAATTATATAACTTTAAACTAACTCAATATTATATTTAAACATGAATTATTTCTAAAACAGAGAGTTCAATGAGCAATCAATAACAAAATATCATAACTCAGTCACATAGATTTAAGACAATTTTTCATTATTAATCTAAATATATTTCTGATTACTTATCCATTCGGCGGTATCTATGTGTTAAATTTCTGTCTCCAAAAAACCGCAACGCATGCACTTCAACCGTATCTCCAGATCTAGAATCAGATCATGTTTTCGTTTTGTGCAACTTGCTTGGGATGTCTCATTAGATGGGTTGCCTTTGTCATCCTCCATAAATAGAATATGCAGATTTTACAATTCATTGTGTAAGACATGATTAAAATACCCTTTAGTTAAGAGGATATATTACCTGAGGAGTATTCTGTTTGGCTTTCTGATTTGATGTGGTGAGTAAGTGTAATTGTTCCCATAATTCTTCTTACTCTATCTTGGAATCTGTTGGTGAAGGTGGTGACTTAGGTTCCACGACACCGAATCTCATTACCAATGGTGGGGGATTGATGATCAACAAGCCATTTTCATCGTTTTTTTTTTCATTTGTGTTCGCCATGTTCTTATGAATGCTCTCACAAACGATAAGGCTACTTATAAAATATTTTAAAGTTCTTTGAAAAGAAAACCTCAAGTTAGTATTTATAAGGTGTGCAATAATAAGCAATTTTCTCATTTTTCAATTTTTTTATGGGGAAGATTATGCTACTTTATGTTTGCACCTAACCGTTTAACTTTCCAGGTTTCCTGTTTCATATAATTTTAAGAAAAATTGCCCAAGTAGATACATAAAGTTATAACATATAAGTCTACATAAAAGTCATTTTTGTTATGATGTTGTTTGAATATATGATTTCCTAAAATATTGAAACATAAAATTGGCTAAATAACATAAGCTATAGAGAGTGATCGTATTATTTTATGGAAAGTGTTATAATTTAGCAAAATTATATATTTAGTAAAATGGTATATTTACTTATTGAGGTTGCGTGTATCCTTGGTGAAACTTAAAACATGGAATATATTCTCTCTGACACGTGAAACGAACAAATCGGTCAATATCGATATGGAAATGTCTTGACATAAATTAGTGGGATTGTTGTTGGTTTTGACAATAAGAGGCTTTAAATGGTAACTGTTCAAATTTTTTTTTTAATAATTCAAATGAAAATAAATTTATAAGAAAGAATAACTGCTTATTCAACTGCATTGTCTGTCCTTTTCATCTTTAACACACTTTCACATACTTCGTCACTTTTAGTTTTCCTCTTTATAAATATCATTCCGAGTTCTCGATCGAAAAAAATAAAAAAATAGGTTTCTAAAATGTCTGATGTTGTCGATGTTGCATGTTTGGATACTTATAAAACATGGTGGTTAATATCTGTCAAGGTGGTCAGGCTCTGGAAGCATTCAACACTTCGAAAATACTATCGAGATGGTTCTGTCTGATATCAAAGTATGTGTCTTTTTTTGAAGTTTTTCTTTTATTTTTTCTATTTATTATTCACTGATTATTTTTGGCTGTGTTATTTTTCTAGGGTACTCGGATCGCTGCAACCATTATGCCAAACGAGTTTCCCACTCACTGTTATGAATCATGTCCATTGTTTTATATGTAAAGGACTGTTAACATATAAAGTCTTTACCAAATATTTCATTTTTCATATTGTTTTTTCTTCTGGCAGAAAAGAAGGCCGGTTTACATGTTACGCCCGTGATTCTCTAGCAATAAATCTACATGATGTATATCAGAGAAACACATGTGAATCGGTTGTCTGGGTGTTAAGGTTCTGGAAGATGAAAAATGGCCAAGATATATACATATTTTCTCATATATGTCTTAAAATCTGAATGTTGAATAAAAATTTTGTCTATTGTGTTTTAGGTATCAATAAGAAGTCTGTGGTTCTCCGATCTAATCATCTATGCTCAGATTTTTTGTACAATCCTGTCGATGCAGAAGTTGATGCATTTAGAACGACGTGAGTATTTAAAATTTTGGATTCTATATATTGTTGTGTCAGTGTTTATTAAAACGTTTTGGTAATGACTTTTTATCACTTTCGTAGGCGGAACCAAGTACGGATGAGAGCATCGACTGTTTGATGTTATTTGTAGACCTCCTCTATTCTGTCTCTCTATTTTCACTGTTTCTTCTTTGTATTCTCGAACTCATTACTTAATAATTTTATGCCTACTTTTAAAACTAAGATCAGTGATTTTATTTAATACTTTCTTATTGTTTATATATTAATTTTGTGATGTATTATCAAACTATATTTTATGTACTATATGTGTTTTTTATTAGCTTATATTGTTAGGTTCGATGTCAAACTATGTCATTTTTATAAGATTTTTGTGGCTTCTGTTATGAAAAATATTTTGATTATTTTTGGTATAGTCAGAGTAATTGCCTAAAGTTAACATACTAGAAATCAGGATAATTGCCTAAGGTAAACATATTAGGAAACATATATATACTTCGAGTATTTGTCACAGGAAAAACTTACTGACTGTCGTCATAAATTTTCAATAGACCTCGAACTATAATTATCTTTTCCAAGAGCTCATAAAAACTTTAATGATTGTGATAGTAAATATATTCTACGATATGGACCCAATCGTGTTTAGTCTTTGTGGTTGTTTACGAAAATCGAAATCAGTAATATTTTTGTAGGATTTAGATTCGTTTAATGTTTAGATGTTTATTTGCTTAATAATATCCGGTATACCTATATCAATAATATTAAGTCATGATTAATTATGTCCAGTATATCTATATTTTTAGATACATGAATAACCAATTTATATTCAGATATCAAAATAATAATAAAAAAACTAATACAATCATGAATTCCTTTATTTAATAATGATTTATCAGTATGAAAACATATATATACACATATGTTTTGTCTTCGAATTAAAAAGAAAAATTTTAAATTATATAAAAAGAAGATATACATATATAGATTTTGTTTTGTTATATTTTTAAAAAATTATAAAGTTATAGATCATTTGTTTTTAGTGGTTGCGATCATATTGTATTTATATTGAATATATATGTATATATATAACGGATAATGAAAATTGTTTTTAAAGACTCGGTTCAAGTAAACGGTTTCTAATGAATCATCATCATTAAGCGTAATCATATTTTAAAAATGTTACGTATATATATAGATGATCTGATAAAGACTCGATGCAACAGAACATAACTACTTTCTGATATTTTATTCTCTCTAAACTTCTGACAACCATGGGTAGTTATGATTTGGTTCATGAAATGAATGGATGGAGAGATGTCTGGAGGATTGTGGTTAAAGTTTTGAAAAAGTGGAGAGTTAACGATCCACAGGGATTACCAGGTCTTGGCTTCATTATGACCGACGAGAACGTTAGTTTTATTATAAACTAAACTTTGTAGTAATAAGTCTCTGATTCTGTATATTTCTTTATTGGTTCTATAATTTCTATATTTTTTTCTTATATTGTAGGGATGCCGAATTCAGGCAGTTGTTCACAATCAGATGTTCGAGTATTTCGAACGAGTTTGCCATGAAGGTCACTGGATTATGTTATCTCGGTCTAGTCTCAACTGATTGCTCAGGTATGATCGCGACAAGATAACTAGACACGGTTTTATGATTACTCTGACTGACGACACAAAGGTTTCACGTATAATACCATTATCTAATAAGGCATTCGCCAGCTTCGTACAATTTTCTCAGATTATCAATAATCTTTCCGCTCATGAATACCCTATTGGTTAGTATAATTATATATTGGTTTTTGTTTTTTTTATATTTTTGAAAAATTCGCTGTAGTGTTACTGATATGTGTGTTTTTTCAGATTTGATTGATGTACTTGACATTGTAAGAGATCTCATACCAGTTGTGCTGACAGATGGAAAAATTGTTCTGACACTTCGTTTTCGTCTTAAAGACAATGAGTAAGCGCATTCTTTTCTTTTCTATTGTCTATGGTTATGATAATTTAGTTTTACAATAACTCTTATGTAATTTGAAGGGATAATACATTGGAATGTATCGCACATGGCTCATTAGCATCTGACATAAAGGAACAATGCATAGGATATGATGGTCCATTTGACGTCTGCGTTTTAACCGATTGGTGTGTTAC